TGTAGATAATAATATCTACATATTTCACATATAATAATCTGAGGCTCAGCCAGGTTAAGTAATTTGTCATAATTTTAAGACAGCAGAGCCAACCTTTGAACCTAAACATAGCCTACCCCAGAGTTTAAAGCCCCTTCTGTTTACTACATCAATGCCTGTCAGTGCATGGCAGAGAGGAGACAATTTTATCGTGATTACTCTGGGTGTTCACTGTGCTTGCTGTGTTCACACTACTTAACAAAGAATGCCTACATTCTGACATAAGCTTTTTGTCTTTACCTTTTTGTTTATTTTTAAAACTGGAGTGGTCTTTTTGTCACCATACAATGTGTTTCTAGCACATTCGTAACAACCCCCACCCTGATTTCTGAGTTCCTTGATGCTAGAACTCCGTAGCATGCTGGGAAGAGGATGAAATATATTCCATTAGCATCTCCGGTCCCCAAGTTTAATGCACAAGACCACTAAGTCTATGATGCAAATAGTTGGTAGCAGGTAAAACAGCTACCTTGTTTTAGCATTTTCATGTGGCTTTCCTTCAGGAAATGCATGCCTGTTGCCAAGACCTGTGAGAAGACATGAGGACAGTCTGTTCCAGTTTTCCTTTTAGTTAATGTCACCAACCTAGATGTCAGATAGGTTTAAAAAAAAATCAGCCATTTTCTCAAAGGGTCCACAAGCTTGTAACTGTCTACCTAGCAGAGGGTAGACACCCCATCCATCAACATTAATAATTGATCCTGCAAGCTTTTGACTTGCAGTCCTGACCAGCAATATGTGGGCTTAATTGACAACCCAGGATTCATTTGCTCTTTCTATACCCACATCACTGATATTTTAAAGGACCTCTTATAAGTGCCACTTTGAGACTTTTAATAATTACCTGGTCATACCTGTCCCTGCAAGATTTACTAAACAAACATATACAATCTCAGCACAAGAGAAGCACTGGGACAGCCAATCCAAATGACTGCTGTTTTATCAAATAATATCAAATACCTCTACCTCTCCCAAAGAGAACTATCCAATGAGATTGCATGGATACGTGGATATGCTGTGTAGTTCTACTTTTTTGAGCTATTAGTCTTCACAAAGACTTTCCCAAGCTACAGTACTATAAAATAACATATAAATATTACTGTTTTGTCATATCCCCACAAAATTTTATCATTCTGTGTATTCATCTTTAATGCTTTTGATTCATACTTTCAAATTATTTTCATAATGAAGATGTACATTTTCCCACACCTTAGATTGATGTAACTGTTCCATGTATTAAGCAATCAGTTACTTCCTTTGACCGCTTTTGATATGGAATTTTAAGGTTTAGGATCATTTCTATCAATTATTTATTTAGAAGAGTGAACTTATTATGATATCTGTCATTTATATTTTGTCATTAGTTTGCTTTCCTTTTGATTTTTTTCTCCTGACTACAAAGGCAGTACATGTTCATAAGAGAAAGGGCAGAAGGTACAGAGAAGTTTTTAAAAAGAAAAGAAAAATTGCCCCAAATTATAGAAACAAACACTATTACACTTGTGTATTTCTCGTCAAGGTTGTTTCTATATAGCACACCCGTTCACATCAATATCGGCATCTTCTATTATTAACACATAGAAATTGTGTATCCCTTGTTTGTTACTTAATATCATCTGATAGCTTTTATTTTATTTTATTTTTATTTTTTTGAGACAGAGGCTCAAGCTGTCGCCCTGGATAGAATGCCATGGCATTACAGCTCGCAGCAACCTCCAACAGCTGGGCTCAAGGGAGTCTCCTGCCTCAGCCTCCCAAGTAGCTGGGACCACAGGTGCCCGCCACAACGCCTGGCTGTTTTTTGGTTGCAGCTGTCATTGTTGTTTGGCGGGGCCCAGGCTGGATTCGAACCCGCCACCTTAGGTGTATGTGGCTGGCGCCTTAGCCACTTAAGCCACAGGTGCCGAGCCCCGATATCTTTTATTATCTTTAAAAATGCCCTTGCATTAACTGCCTGATATTTCATCATATAATTTACTCTTAACTTAGATATCCATTTCCCTGGTGTTCAGTATTTAAACTGCTTACAGAGCTTTCTTGTTCTGGGTATGATTTTGTTTTTTACTGTGATGCATAATGCCTTGGAGAAATGTCAGACAGAGATCTTAGTACCTGTCTCTGGTTTGGGAAACACTCTTAAAAGTATAATTACTAACCCCACACTGTACCCCAGAAGTGCATTAACGTACATAGTTACCATTCAATAAAAAAAAAAGTATAATTACTATTTCAAAGCATAAAGACCTCTTTAGTGCTCTTTTGAGGCTTTTGCCAAATTATCCAATTTATATTTCCCCTGATGGGAAGAATACCCATTCTTCATCTCCTCATCAATATTGCCAGTTTGACTGTATCTTTTGTTTGAATTTGTAGTTTTTGATAATTAATGGTGTTTGAAGCTTTCCTTTTGTGGTTTATTTCCTTATTCTATTGTGTGAATTTTATATTCATGTATTCATACCTCCCCACATAATAGCTTTTAATAACATCTTCATTTCTTCCTAGTTATGATTTTCTTTCCCCTCCGAAAAAACTATACAATCATAGAGGTATTGGGAAAGTGGGTGCCTCTTTGGGAAGTCTGGGCATGAGTGACTGACTGCAGCTGTGCTCTGCCCCCACAGCTGCTGGAGAAAGGCCTCCCCAGCGTGCAGCAGCCTTTGCTCCAGGTCATCCACAGTCTGCTCAGCTACATGGACCTTTCCGGGGTGCCTGTCAAACAATTTAACGTGGAAGTTCTGAAGACCATTGAAAAATATGTGCAAGTAAGTATTTGGATAGCTTCACTTGGCAATCAGTGAGTCATTCCAGAAAGAGGGAGGTTGTGCCTCTAACCTGGAAGCAAAGCTGTCTGGGAACCGGGCTGTATACTCACTCCTGGACACCCGTGATGCAGCACAGGAGGTCAGGAGCGGTTGCTGACCACACCCTGAGCAGTACTCTGAGGAGAGACGAGACAGGAGCTTGGCACATCCCCATGCCTGCAAAGGACACATTTCTTTCTTGTGAGGCCACAGTCTGGGAGACCAGAGGAAGGGTCTTATTTTCAGTATCCAATTTCAGAGATGAAGAAAGGAGAGGGAATTTATAAGTGTGCCAGGCTCTAGACTTGGCACTTCAAAATGTGAAGAGTTATTTATAAGTTAAAATCGTCACTTTAGAGTTGAGGGAACTAAGGTTAAGGAACTTACATAAATGTACTTGAATATACTCCACTAACCAAAAAGACTATTGAAGGGATAAATAAAACAAGATGACAAATTGTGAATAGTTGATGGAGAATGGAAGGAAATTCATTATACTAGTTCTCTGTTTCTGTGTACATTTTAATATTTCCGTAATAAACAGTCTTTAATTGTTTTTTTTAAATGAAGAGACTGGCCCCAAGATCTCCATTAGTAAAGGGTGGAGCTGGTATTTGGCTCCAGGTCGACCTGGCTCCAAAGCCAGAGCTTTTGTTTCATTGTACCAGGCATCCCTCCCAGCAGGACACTTGGTGAACACCAGAAACATCTCCAGACTGATTCCTTAAAGCCATACTCTGAGACTACGAGAAAAAAAAAATATGAAAATAAAATAAATGTCAAAAAAGCAAACAGACCAGAACAAGTTCTAGAAAGCCTGTAAGTTAACTTGAAACAGGACTGCAGGCTGAAGAAGGGAGGCCCCAGGCCATGGGGGCTGTGTGGGGCCACTGTGGGCTTCTGTGGAGAGGGCAGGCTCGGGAGCACAAACACCTCTTTCTCCTAATTTTATTTCCCCCCCTATTTCTTCCCTGGAGTGTACTTGGTGCATTACAGAATTCAAAGGCAAGTGCTCTCTGGTTTAAACTCAATGACAAAGCCACACAGTATAAATTTTAGTCATTCCTTTTGTCATCACTTCACCAATCATATTACTTACAGAAAATTATTTCATGTTAAAAGGGATTTCCAAGCATTATTTTTTCATTTTTCAAGGAATATT